GGGTGTTGAACAGTGAGAACACATGGACACAGGGAAGGGAGTATCACACACTGGGGTCTGTGGGGGAGAAATAGGAGAGAGACAGTGGGGGGTGGGGAATTGGGGAGGGATAATATGGGGAGAAATGCCAGATATAGGTGACGGGGAGGAAGGCAGCAAACCACACTGCCATGTGTGAACCTATGCAACAATCTTACATGTTCTTCACATGTACCCCAAAACCTAAAATGCAATAAAATAAATAAATAATTAAAAAGAGTAAAATAAGTTTACAGTTCTTGTTACAAAATTACCAGTACCTGTGAAAACTTAGCTGGTCTTGGTGGCAGGTGCCTATAATTGTAGCTATTTGGGTGATTGAGGCACAAGAATGGGTTGAACCTGGGAGACAGAGGTTACAGTGAGTTGAGAATGCACTAGGCACTTCAGCCTGGGCGACAGAGCAAGACTCTATTTCAAAAAATAGAACAAAAAAATTCTGAAAAACCAAGACCACCAGTACCCATCCCCACTTATAATTTTTATTTCACATAACAGCTATTTTCAGTTATTTTAGTTGGCTCTTTTTGTATTTACCTCCATATATCTTCATAGTGTTCTGTTTTTAATTTTTTATTTTTTTTATTGCATTCTGGTTTTGGGTTACATTTGAAGAACATGCAAGATTGTTGCATAGGTACACACATGGCAATGTGATGTGCTGCCTTCCTCCCTATCACCTATATCTGGTATTTCTCCCCATGCTATCTCTCCCCAGCTCCCCACCCACCGCTGTCCCTCCCCTATTTCTCCAGTGTGTGATGCTCCCCTCCCTGTGTCTATGTGTTCTCATTGTTCAACACCCACCTATGAGTGAGAACGTGCGGTGTTTGATTTTCTGTTCTTGTGTCAGTTTGATGAGAATGATGGTTTCCAGCTTCATCCATGTCCCTACAAAGGACACGAACTCATTGTTTTTGATGGCTGCATAATATTCCATGGTGTATATGTGCCACATTTTCCCTGTCCAGTCTATCATCGATGGGCATTTGGGTTGCTTCCAGGTCTTTGCTATTGTAAACAGTGCTGCAGTGAACATTCGTGTGCATGTGTCCTTATAGTAGAACTATTTATAATCCTTTGGATATATACCCAGTAATGGGATTGCTAGGTCAAATGGAATTTCTATTTCTAGGTCTTTGAGGAATTGCCACACTGTCTTCCACAATGGTTGAACTAATTTACACTCCCACCAACAGTGTAAAAGTGTTCCTTTTCCTCCACATCTTCACCAGCATTTGTTGCCTCCAGATTTTTTAATGATCGCCACTCTAACTGGCATGAGGTGGTATCTCAATGTAGTTTTGATTTGCATTTCTCTAATGACCAGTGAGGATGAGCATTGTTTCATGTTTGTTGGCCTCATGTATGTCTTCTTTTGTAAAGTGTGATCAGGGTACTCTTGTTGGATCTTGCTGATAAGGAGAGTGCCCATTCCAGAGCCTTTGCCCCTGCCCAGTGAGTGGGTCAACTGCAAGCCCTGAAGGCAGTCACAGCTTTCTCGGCCTCCTTGTGGACCACATCCGGGACAGAATCAACCAGCTTGGCCCCTTCTGTGTAGTGGCCTTTCGCCCAGTTGTTGCTTGCAGACTGACCAAAAACAAAGTTGCCTGGTCTCAATTTCTGGCCAAAAGGACCTGAGCGAACAGAGTCCATGGTTCCAGGTTGTAGATCGACCAGGATGGCACGAGGAACATATTTGCCACCTGTGACTTCATTGTAGTACACGGAGATGCAGTCCAGCTGCAGGTCGCTGTCCCCGTGGTAGGTGCCAGTGGGGTCGATGCCATGTTCATCACTGATCACCTCCCAGAACTTGGCATCGATCTAGTTGCCACACTGATCCGCCTGGATGTGCACGATTTTCCTGATGGTTAAAATTTAATTTTTTTCTTGCCTCAAGGTATGTACAGGGCAAAAAAAAATAATAATAATAATTCTTTCTCTCTGCTGGTCGCAGGCTGAAAGGCTGGAATGCACCCCCAGAGGCTGGAGCAGTGAGGTGCGAACGCGACGGCAGGAAGGTTCTCTATATAGTATTCTTATACTGCTGCTTGATTTTTTTACTTTTAGATACTATATATTGACTTCTGATTTACAAGATGAATTTAGTTCCTTTTCTTTTTTTCTCTACCCCTAACACTTCTTGTCACTCCATCATCTCTATATAGTTATGTCATAACTTTGGTTTGATTCATATTTAGTGTTTACACTCCAGTGTTTATGTAAATACTATCATAGTTGAATCTTATAAAGTACTATGATAACGTTTCTTTTCTTTCACAAAAGTTTCTTTTTCCCTGTAGTGAACTGTATTGATTTTCCTGATTACTTAGTATTTCATGTACTCGGTATTTTTTTCCCCCTAATTATGTAAACTTCTTTTCAATATGTTAGAATATATTAGTTATTTTATCTGTTTCACTTGCTTAAAGAAATAGCTGTCAGTTTCTAATCTTCTCTAATCTACAGATTGTTATGTAAGCATCCCGTTCAGTTATCGTTTTGCGATTTTCCTCCTCCATTGACTTGGGAATTCCTTTCAACTGCCTGTTAGATTGTAACCCTGTTTCTTGAATCCTATGTTCTTTCTTTTTCTGATTTTACTCCCTAAATATTGTGGGACATATCCTTCAGTAGTTTCTTGAGAATGGTTGCACGGGATGAAAATTGTTAGAAGAGTTTGCATGTCTAAACATTTTTTTTGTACCATCATAATTTATGCTTTCACGGGATATAAAATTTGGACTTGGAGATAATTTTTTCTGAGTATTTTGAAAACATTAGTTAGATTCTCATCTAGCCTCCAATGTGAGTATTGAGAAATGTGTTGCAATTTTATTTTATTTTTTTTTACTTTTTTTAAATATAAAATTTTTACTTTTGTTGGTATATGGTACGTGTATATATTTATGGGGTACATAAGATGTTTTGATATAAGCATGCAATTGATAATATTCATGTAATGGAAAATGGAGTATTTGTCCCTTTAGGCATTTATCCTTTGTGTTACAAACAATCCAATTATACTGTTTTATTTTAAAATGTGTATTATTTATATGATAATAATTTATCCTTTGTGTTACAAACAATCCAATTATACTGTGTTATTTTAAAATGTGTATTATTTATATGATAATTTATCCTTTGTGTTACAAACAATCCAATTATACTGTGTTATTTTAAAATGTGTATTATTTATATAATAATAATTATTATTATTATTATTTTGAGACGGAGTCTCTCTCTGTTGCCCAGGTTGGAGTGCAGTGGCATGATCTCGGCTCACTGCAATCTCTGCCTCCTAGGTTCAAGCGGTTCTCCTGCCTCAGCCTCCTGAGTAGCTGGGATTACAGGCGCCTGACACCACACCCAACTAAGTTTTGTATTTTTAGTAGAGACAGGGTTTCACCATGTTGGCCAGGATGGTCTCAAACTCCTAACCTCAAGTGATCCACCCACCTTGGCCTCCCAAAGTGCTGGGATTTAAGGCTTGAGCCACCGTGCACAGCTTAAAATTTATAATTTAATTATTATTGACCGTAGTCACCCTGTAATGCTATTAAATACTTGGTCTTATTTATTCTTCCTTTCTGTTTTCTTTTCTTTTTTTTTTTTTTTTTTTTTGAGACAGAGTCTCATTCTGTCACCCAGGCTGGAGTGCAGTGGCATGATCTTGGCTCACTGCAACCTCTGCCTCCTGGGTTCAAGAGATTTTTCTGCCTCAGCCTCCTGAGTAGCTGGGATTACAGGCATTTGACACCATGGTGGGCTAATTTTTACATTGTTAGTAGAGACGTGGGTTTCACCATTTTGGCCAGGCTGGTCTTGAACTCCTGGCCTGAAGCAATCCACCTGCCTTGGGCTCTCAAAGTGCTGAGATTACAGGCGTGTGCCACCATGCTTTGCTTATGCTTTATTTTAGACTCAAATATATAGTAGATCTGATGTGCTCAGACATACATATTGATTTTCTGCCATCTGAATATACTGTAATTCAAAGGGAAGCTTTTTTGAAGCAAGACAGGTCTTTACACATTACTTATGAATAACTTGCTTCAGATCTTGGATTCCCAGTTGAGGATCTGTTTCTGTAGTCTTATTCTGGTAAAACTTATAAAATACTTTTTATATGGGTATAATCAATTTCTAGATAGACAATTTTTATAAACACTGCGGGGATATTTGGATAAATTATTAGCATTAAAATTTCTCCTATGCAGTTTCTTAGTATTTTGAGAGATGAAAATTGGGTAAAACATGGCATTAATGCAGGGACTGGGATGCCGATTTAGGCATCCAGTATGTGGCACCACTCACATACTTGTTCCTACTTTTATCTCAATGGTAATTTATCTAAAGAAAATAATTGTTGTTGCTCAAAAGTGTCCATGAAACTAATTATTTCTAAATAAGTATTTTGACTAGATAGTGCTTTAGATACATTATAGAACTTCAGAATTTTTTAAGTTGTCTCAATTTTGAAAAAAAAAAAAAAAAAAGAAAACCGTTCATTTCCCCCTCACTCCTCATCAATAGTGATTTTTTGTCTTTCAATGTCCTTCCTGCTCTAGTGCCTTTAACTGGATCTGGCAGCCAAAAGCAGGGTTTTAGCCTGCCCTTTGGCTGGACAATTATTGGGTCTCTCATTTCTTGTTACAAAGGATCTTTTAACTTCTATTAGTAATTTATTGTAATACTTTTTCATACATAACTAATTCCCCATCCTGAATGTTTTGCAGTTTATCCTTACACAAATTGAGAGGTTTTGACAAGGAAGCTTATTTTGATATATAGGATATATTAAGTATGTTTTTGTTTGTTTGTTTTTTGAGATGAAGTTTTGCTCTGCCTCCTAGGTTAGAGTGTAGTGGCACGGTCATGGCTCACTGACACCTCTGCCTCCCAAAGTGTGTTGGGTTTATGGAAATCATGAATCTGATGCATTTTTTTTATTGCAGGTTTCATATCTTCATGAACTCTGTTACAAGTTTGGAGCAGAAACCCAGAAGAATAATAAATATGAAGAAAGTTCTTTCTGGCTTAGGTAACGTAAAAAATGAATGTAAATTCAGGAATATTATCATAGATGTCAGTTAATATTTACTGTAGAGTACTTGGGCAGTTTAAACCTTCTCTGACTTCAGAAGCCAATATGCTATGTTTATTTACTCTTTTAACATGTATTGTTTATTATTCTTACACATTGCCAGTTCATAGTTCATAGAAAAATGTGTTTTCTTCTTTTTCTTTCGTTCTTTCTTTTTTCAAACAGGGTATCTCATCTCTCTGTTACCCAGGCTGGAGTTCAGTGGCATGATCTCTGCTCACTGCAACCTCTTTCTCCTGGGGTCAAGTGATCCTCTGACCTCAGTCAGCCTCCCAAGTAGCTGGGACCACAGGCATGTGCCACCATGCTTGGCTAATTTTATCTATCTTTGGTAGACAGGGGATTTCACCACATTGCCCAGGCTGGTCTCAAACTCCTGAGCTCAGGCAATCCACCTGCCTCGGTCTCCCAACGTGCTGGGATTACAGGTGTGAGCCACCACTCCCGGCCAGTGTTCTTTTCTTAATATGAGAGCTTACTCCTTTTCCCCCATTCCTCCTTTATATCTCTATCAGGAGTATAGAAAACTTGGTTGTTGTTGCTTTGGTACTTATTGCTGTCTTGGTACTTATTATACTCTGGCACCAGAGTATAAGGTGGAGATGTGATTGGGAGTAGTATTGGCTAAAATAATTAGTTTTAGATGAATTTTGGCAATTTAATATCAGTCAATTAAGTATTTAATGCTGTATGCTGAGTACTGTGCTAAGATTTGGAGTCTTGTGCTTAAGCTGGAAATATCAAGAAAATTATACAAAAATATAGGAAGTGTGCAAGAACCCTGTCTTTCAGTGAAAACCTAGGCCCAGCACAGATTCTGACACATGGTAGATACTCAATAATTGTTAGTTAAATGAGCATATGTGAAAATTGTATTTTTGTGAAGATATCACATAAGGTGTAGTGCTTTGAATATCAGAAGATCATAGAGTAGGCTGGGCGTGGTGGCTCATGCCTATAATACCAGCACTTTGGCAGGCCAAGGTAGGAGGATCGCCTGATGTCAGGAGTTCGAGACAAGCCTGGCCAACATGGTGAAACCCCATCTCTACGAAAAATACAAAAATTAAGCAGGTATGGTGGCACAGGCCTATAATCTCAGCTACTCAGGAGGCTGAGGCAGGAGAATCGCTTGAATCTAGGAGACAGAGGTTACAGTGAGCCGAGACTGTACCACTGCACTCCAGCCTGGGCGATAAAGAGAGACTCTGTCTCAAAAAAAAAAAAAAAATAGAGCATGGAGTAAAAGATATCAAGTCAATTCACTAAATGTTTATCCTTGCTGAGTGCAGGGTTAGTTCTAGTTGTTTGGAGATACTCCTATGATACTCCTAACTATAGACTAAGTATTGTGAATATGATGTTTGTCATTTAAGAAAATAAATACAAATCTGGGCACTCAGATTATAGTACTCAGAGGCATATCTATCACTAGCAAAACGCTGATGAAAATAAGTTATATAATTTAGAGCCCGAAGATTGATCAAACTTTATATAAAGAACTATTCCTAATAGAACAGGCTAGAGTTCTGTTCCCGTATTTTGGAGTAGAGCACTCACAAAGTTTATGGCATCAATGTATCAAAAGACTAGTATGCCAAGAAGGCAGGAATAGGGAGGTCCAAAAAGAAAAAAAATGATACTGGTGCCATGGATGGCTTCTGGAAGCTTAAGACTGGAGGTGAGCTTGGAGTTTATGATAAGAATAAGGGTGAGTTAGGAGTCATAAAAATAAATGTTCTCTAGGACCTGGTCCTGACAGTAGGCTGAGGCTTGACATGGCATGACTCGTAGGTTATTTGCACATATGCCATTGGTTGTTGACTTCTTATCTGTTATCATTTTTAAAGAATCTCATGAAAAGAAAATATAATGATGAGATATCCATATTATAAGTTAGCATATCTTAATGGCTGTATTTGTTGGAATATAATGTGACCCACAGTGGTATTTTTATAAAAACCTAAATAAATAACAAATTTATATTGCACTAGTATATTATGAGTCTTTTGTGTTCACATCACTAGAATAATATTTAAGAAAACAGGAAAAACTTTAATCATATCCCTAGTATTTACATATTATTTTAATCTTTCTGCTTCATTTTTTTCTTTCACATCTATTGGGAATATAAAAATAACCTGGTGAAATATTCACAAATGTTTTAAAAGGAATTATCATATTTTAATGTTTAAAAAGAGGCAAAAGTAATGATCAATATTAACTGTAGGAATTGTAGCACAGTAAATAGATTTTCTAGTAGTAGACCAACTGTCAGAGTTTGTTCTCATCTATTACATTAATGTTAAATTGTTAAATATTGTGATACTTTATTTAGAATTGTTGTGGGGTTTAAATATGATAATGCATGTCTTATAGAGTATTCAGTAACATGCCTTGGATATAGAAACTGCTGCTGCTATCTTTAGGTGATGTTTGCTATTATTGCAGATGGACTCTCTTGTGGCCATTCCACTAGTTTATTCTAAAATTTATCATAGTCAGATCAAGCATGGATTACTTACTAACTTCCCAAATAAAATGTCATAAAAACAAACATCTACATCTTTCAATCTTTGGAACAATTTTTAGAAATCTTTTTGTAGAGACGGGGTCTTGCTGTATCAAACACAGTGGTCTCAAACTCCCGCCTGAAGTTATCCTCCCACATCAGCTTCCCAAAGTGTTGGAATTACAGGTGTAAGCCACTGCACCTGACCCTTCGGAATAATTATTTCGTGCTTTATATCCATGTGTTAAAAAACCTGGTGGCAGCCGTTAGTGATACAATCAGAGATGAATAGCTGCTAATTAAGCACCCTTTTCTGTAGATTTTATACCAGTAGGAGGTCATTGAAAATGAGTACACATTCTACTGGCTCAACTCTTTTGAGAACAGTGAATATCTTAGACTAAAGGTTATATATAATTTGTAAGTACCCATTCAGTCTAAAAGTAAAACCCTCATTTTTTCACAAATGATATAATATCAAAATGCTGTAGTATATTAGAATTTTGTTGATATTGAAGCCCAGAACAATATTAAACATAAAGAATGATAGTGGGTATCATTTAAAAAGCTCATTTATTTTCCTTGATTTTTGTTAATATCTCGGTTCAAGATCTTCCTGCATTTTTATCACCCTTCTGCCTTTTCTTTTGCTAAGTTCATAAATAGCTCCTGCTCTTCTTGCTTTCTGCCATACTCTTTTGATCATGTTCCCTTAGAGATACCACAGGTTAAAAGAAAGCTGCTATAATCATGAATGAAATTGAGATTCCTTCAGCTCACTTTACTGAATTGTCAATGTATTTGCTGCAATGTGTTAAATGACAAATTCTCTGAGACCTTTATAAATAAACAATTTCAGATTTTCGAAATCTGAATGCAAGGTTTGGAAATAATATGTTTAAGAGGTTTTTAATTTGTTTGTTTATTTAATAAAATACCATTTTTCTCTCCTTCTCCTCCTCTTTTGTGAGTCTTGGAGTATTGAGCTCCTATGTCTGCTCCTGGCAGAAGGCAGGGATAAGTAGATGAGAAAGAGGCTGTTGATATAGAAATTTCCTTCACAATCTTGATAATTTGTTAGTAGGCTCCGTTGTCCTGGTGGAATTTAAACTGTGTTTAGCTCTTAAAGTCCTATCTAATTATTTCGACATATATTATGCTGAACCTGGCTTTTGAGAAAAGGTATACAGAAATTTCACTATAACAAATTAGTATTCTGCAAAGAAGAATTGCATATTAATATAAATAAGTTCATCTCAAAATGCTTTAGGGTTACATGTATTGACCACAAAGACTTTGCAGGTTTTTATTCCTGGTAGAAAAATGCTCTACTTTTTAAATATTGGTCATATTCTTAATTCTGGATTTTTAAAAAAATTTTCAGTAGTTTTATTTCTAAGTCATTTAACTGTATTCCTTGACACGACTGAACTATAGCAACATCAGACATTTCTGTGGCTGATAAACACTTGAGAAGCTCACTTATTTTCTTTTGCTGTAAGATGTGGCTGATAAACACTTGAGAAGTTCACTCTTTTCTTTTTGCTGTAAGACCTCCTACTATTTTCTTCCTTTCCCCTCAAGCTTCATTGAGATATAATTGACAAATGAAAATTCTATATGTTTAATAGTGTACAACATGATGTTTTGATATATATATACACACACAAACTGTGAAATGATTACCACAATGAAGTTAATTATCATATCTATCACCTCACATAGTTACCAGTTTTTCCTCACATGTCATTATAACAGAATTTTATTAATAATCATCAAACACACAGTGTTCAAATTTCACTGACTGTCTCATAAAATCTTATCCAATTGATTTGTCAAGGCCTAGGTATTGCGATTGATTTAGGTGTCTCTTATGTCTAGTTGAATCCATAGGTTTTTATTTTTTTTTTTCTTGCAACGTGTTTGTTAAAGAAGTCAGGTAGTTTCCCACATTTTGAATTTTGCTGTTTGTGTCCCCATTCCTTAATATGTTTATTTTTTCTGTGTTCTCTGTATTTCCTATAAATTAATAATTAAGATTGTAAAATTTCTTACCAGGTTTTTTTGCAGAAATATTTCATAGGTGGTATGATGTACTTCCATCAGGGATTTTGTATGTCAGTTGTTTTGCTTTTTTAGTTGTTTTCACTGATGGCTGTGATATTAGCAGCTATCAGTGATCATTGCATAGATTCTTTATTTTATCAGTGTTTGTAAAATAATAATATTCTAATTGTATCATTTTACTTTTCCTTTATGAGCTGGAATACTTCTCTAGAGTGTAACTTCCCTTAGCGACTGAGGTCCAGTTGTCTGAGTTACCATTAGTGTGTGTGTGTGTGTGTGTGTGTGTGTGTGTGTGTGTAGTGAGAACACTTAATATCTACTCTCAGCACATTTCAAGTATACAATCCAGTATTAACTA